GGTTAGAAATTAAGTGTTAACGAGCAGTTGGACAGGTGTACCTAATAAAGTGGCCGGTGAGTGTAATTCCTCACTTCCCCATCTGTGTCGCAGTTTCACGTCTCCAAAATGAGCGTACGCATGGGTCAGAGCTGGCGTGAGGCACCGCACATTTTCACGTCAAGTTTGGATTTTATAAATCACAACCTTGGTGTAAAAAGTGGCGTACGCAGGTTTCTGAGCTCAAATTGTGCGTACGAAAGTTTTACAAATCCGACCCCAGGTCTTCACTCTGGCAGAGTTCCTAGGAGGGTCATGGGAGTTGGAATGCCCAGCCTACATGTATTTTGTACATTTGGAGATGGTTTTGCGACCGTGTTCTCTAAAGCAGCGGTTCCCAACCTTTTTAAACGTGTGTACCCCCTGAACCCTTTTGTCACACCACTAGTACCCCCTCAGTCAAACGTAATGATGATTCTCCAAAACTATAATGTATAACAATTGATTATTAAATGAAAATTATTTATTTAATCCCCGTAACATTTAATTCTCAGGCATTTTATTCTTTTAAACTCAAATTAAACATAAAGATAAATACGTTGCCTTGAAAATGAATAAGTAATTAAATGAATAGACCAAGTAACGGCAGGTACAGGAAGCAGCAGCATTCAAAATAGCTCAGAAACTCACCCAAATTAGCAAATTCTGTGAGATTCTGCATTTTATACTGGATTCTATTTTATTTAGTCAATTCCACGATTCTGTCTGCATTTTTCACATTGAGAAAATCATACGGCCCTACATATCTTAGTCCTATTTTTATAATTTTTTTTACACACCTGGGAAATTTTTCCACGTACCCCCTGTAATATGCTCGCGTACCACTGGGGGGTACACGTACCCCTGGTTGGGAATCACTGCTCTAAAGCACTCTGTGGACGGAGCTGTGGGAGTATGGGGTGACGGTGTACTTTTAATGACAAGCGAAAACTGTCTCCAGTTCCAGCAAAGGTCTAACAGGCCAGCTCTTTGTCTGGAAAAAAAGTGTTTTAACTCAGTAGATGTTGCAGATATTGGGATCAAATTTCTTGTGATATTAACTTAGAGCAGTCCATAACAGATCAGGACGAGCCACAGTCTGAAGTAGGTGGGTCACAGTCAAGATGTTCATTTTCACTCACAAGTTTCATAGTTAATGAAACACATGGATCAGAGCTCCTGAGAAACCTCCCAGTTGCTGTTCTTATCAAGTCAGAAGTTGTTGAAAATATTTGATACAGAGGGAATTTTTTAAATATAAATTCTAATTTTATTGGACTTTTATGAGAGGGACCGTTTCAAGCCTCAAGATCAAAAGCGTGGTCCTTTCAAAGGTGCCCCTGTAGGGATTCTATCTCTCCCTGGAACATTTTCCCTTGCAGCTGTGTAGTAGTCACTTCAAGTGGAATAAACAAGAAAATGGTCTTTGACCTCAGGCCTCGGACGGGCCCTTTAAAGTGACAGAACTCTGACCCAGTTAAACTGAATTTAGGCCAGAACAGGTCACCTCAACCATGAAGAGGCATTCTCTTTTTCTTAATCAGTTAATAAAAAGAAATATCTCCATTATTTTTGATGTATTTTTCGTTTAACTAAGAGTTCTTATGCATCTGATAATCATGGATAATGCTTGTCAAAGTTACATAATAAGGAAGTAGGACAACCTCTCTTCTCTCATTGTGCTTTAAAATTTATAAAGGTGTATACAGTAACACACAAAGAATGTTATTACACTGTTTTATTGTGCTTTGATGTAAATCACAGTTTTTATTTAACTGTAAACAGCAGTAATGTGATTATGGATTTTTCTTGAAGAAATTTCTCATTTAACTAAACTAACTAACATGTTTTAAGTTTATTATGAAACAGAAATGTTTTTATTTGTCTGAGTAATCATCATAAAATGTTTTTGAGTTGAAACCAGGTTTTCTGATCAATATAATAGTGATCCATTCTTTCAGTATTAAAGAGAAACAGGTCAACATGATATGTGCAGATTTTCACAATCCTTGTTAGCTCAAGATGGCGACTGGCAGTGTGAACAACAATTTCTGATATCTTTTTAATAACGGTATCAAAAAGAGGACTGGGCTTAGGAACCTTTCCCGAGTGACTAATATTCATCCCGGACCTCTAGTAGAGAGACACACTTCCTACTTATTGTGTGTGTTATTCACTTTGCACAGCAGAGATATTGCCTTAAAATAAGAGAACCCTTGACAAATATTTCCTTATAACTTTCTATATAAGAGTACACCTCTTATATAGAACATTTCATTACACACACTTCTTATATATAAGAAAACCTTATACAGCGGGTAAAATAAGTATTGAACACTTCACCATTTTTCTCAGTAAATATATTACTAGAGGTGCTAATGACATGA